TATAACACATACATCCATATACTTAACACCATATGCCTACTAATGAACTAAACAAAGTATTGGAGAAATTCTCAGAAAATATCCTTGCCTTAAACTAATAGAACCTATAAAACAGCATTAGAGATAATGTGTACTGTGGTAAAAGAAAGCAGTCATTCAGTCAAAGCAGTTGCATTTGAGAACCAATGTCATGAACTCTGCGATTGGAATAGAGTTTCTTTAATAGAAACTTTCATAAATAGAAAATTTTCCAAAATTCTGAAATAGAAATTTCCCAAAAATGAAAACTTTCTCAAATAGCATTATGGTCTTTGAATTATAAAAATTAGATATACGCTTTTTGGGTTACCAACATCATATTTTAGATCACATATTTCTATTTTTTTCTTTAGAAAATAAATCAGTGACAACTTTCTACATATTTAATGTATTTAAGATCGGAAAAAGACTTGTAAAGCTAGCTGCAAGACATTTCCAACAATATGAATATCAGCATCCGTCTCTTTTTGTTGATTGGAAAACACTTCCAAAATTGGCTACTCATAGATTCAATCTACGTAGATACATTTCGGAAAAACGCTAATAATTTTAACTGTAAATATAAATAAAATTACTTTCGACTACAACTAAATCTAGGAGTTATGGATATTCTTACCAAGTTTCAGATCATCTGGATTGGATTTGCTCATCCATTCCTCTCCTCCTCCAAAAAGGGCCAGCTCTACCTTCTAGATAGAAGCAATGACTCCTCTTTCGAGATAGTTTAATTTCTTTTCATTTTATGAAATGATGATAATCCAAATTTATTTTCAAAATAAAAAGAAAAGTCAAAATTGAAAGTACAAATGGTTCAAATTCAAAATTGACTATATATTTTAATGCATAGTCTGAAATTGCTTATTTTTAAAATATATATCAAGATTTGTATCATATGTAGGTATAGATTTCGTTTTAATCAAACAACGCAACCTAAAATTTAACTATATACATATATAATTTTTTTTCTTAACTAAATTTAATCATATTTACTGTTGAGTTGTGTTGTAAAGTTAATTTGTTATATTTTAGTCGTTTCATTTTTTTTAAAAAAAATCGTTCAGATATTTTTTAAAATGTATAAAATTAAGTATTTTTTAAAAAAAATCTGCCTATATTTATTATATTTAAAATGATTTAAATGATATAAAACTTAAATTAGATAAATTATGATTTTACAGCAAAAAATCGCGTTAAATTCTAAGAACTATACTCTTTACAAAATGGTGGAAATTAATATAATTTTTTAAAGAATAGTTTATTAGGTAAATGTTTTTTCACCCGATAAAAAAGGTAATTGTTTTTCTCCCTTTTAAAATTTATTTTGGTCTATACGGGCTGTTTCGTATTGGAGAAGAATTAAAAGTAGTTTAAAGAAAAAACAAAACAGAAAAAAGGAAAAAAGAAAGTTATAAAACATTCTAGAGACTTCCACTTCACAAAACCTCGAACAAAAGCAAAACGCAATTAAGCATAAGAGAGTCATTCACACAGAACACAGCAGCCACAACAACAAATAACACATCTTCGTCTCTCTGCTCCGCCATCAAAAGAGAGACAATTTTCTCTCTTTCTCTCTCTCTCTGATCTGTAGGGTTTTCGTAAGAAGGGAGAAAAAATGTTCGGGCGAGGACCCTCGAAGAAGAGCGACAACACTAAGTTCTACGAGATCTTAGGTGTTCCAAAGACCGCATCTCCAGAAGATCTCAAGAAAGCTTACAAAAAAGCTGCAATCAAGAACCATCCCGATAAGGGTGGAGATCCCGAAAAGGTTTTGTTTTTGTTTACCCTAGATCCCTTTCCTTTACGCTTAGATTCTGTGAAATTCGATCTGTTTTGGTTTTTTAGTTTGATTGTGATTTTTCCGATCGATTGAGGTTTTGATTGTGATTCTATTGTGGTTTTAATCTCGATTTTTGATCCGATCTGAAAAGTTCGAGTTTTTAGGTTCTTGAATCGTGTTGAAGCGAATTAAGGGGAATTTTATGTGGACCAAGACAATTTTGAGCTTCGATGTGCGTAATTGAGATGTTTTACTATGCAGTGGAGAAAATCACAAGACTTTTTGCTATAAAGCTGTGTTTTAGACGTTTCGTTTAATCTATAGATTCTAATGGATTGAGCTTTCATCCTCGTGACAATGGTGTGATTAAAAACCCTGTTCCTTTGTTAAGTTTTGGAGCGTATTGTAAATGGTTTGTGTTAAATTTGCGACCTTGATTGAGCATAATTCAATGATCTCTTTGCAGTTCAAAGAGCTAGCTCAGGCTTATGAAGTTCTTAGTGACCCGGAGAAGCGAGAGATTTATGATCAGTATGGAGAGGATGCACTCAAGGAAGGAATGGGTGGTGGAGGAGGTGGGCATGACCCGTTTGATATCTTCTCATCCTTCTTTGGTGGGAGCCCATTTGGAGGTAGAGTCTCTTGGACGTTCTCTATTCTCTGGTTTAAATCTGATTACGATTATCTAGGATTTTCTTTCGGATGATTTGAATAATTTTGTTTCTGAATAGGTGGTGGTAGCAGCCGGGGAAGGAGGCAGAGGCGTGGTGAAGATGTTGTCCATCCCCTGAAGGTTTCTCTTGAAGACGTGTACCTTGGAACAACGAAGAAGCTTTCACTTTCTAGGAATGCTCTCTGCTCAAAGTGTAACGGGTTCGTTCATACTACTTCGATTTCTGTGTCTGCTTTATTCTATGAGACTCTTGATGCTGAAAGAGGTTCTTAATTTGTGGTTTTTGTTTTGTTAATGCAGAAAGGGTTCAAAATCTGGAGCCTCCCTGAAATGTGGTGGGTGTCAGGGTACAGGTATGAAGGTGACAATTAGGCAGCTCGGACCTGGAATGATCCAGCAGATGCAGCATGCCTGTAATGAGTGCAAAGGCACAGGTGAGACCATCAACGATCGGGACAGGTGTCCACAATGCAAAGGAGACAAGGTGATCCCTGAGAAGAAGGTGCTTGAAGTGAATGTAGAGAAGGGAATGCAACACAGTCAGAAGATCACATTCGAAGGACAAGCAGATGAAGCGGTCTCTACCCTCAGACATTTACTCTAATGCTTAAACGACATTGTTTTTTCTTCTTTCTACTGACTTATAACCTTTTTTGTCCGTGTTGAAACAGCCTGACACCGTCACTGGAGATATAGTGTTTGTCCTTCAGCAGAAAGAGCATCCAAAGTTCAAGAGAAAGGGAGAAGACCTCTTTGTAGAGCACACTCTTTCTCTGACCGAAGCTCTATGTGGCTTCCAATTCGTCCTGACCCACTTGGATGGCAGAAATCTTCTCGTCAAATCTAATCCGGGGGAGGTCGTGAAACCTGGTATGTATTCAGACACTTGCTGATACTTTGGCTCTACTATAACCTCCCTTTGATTGAAACAGGATTGATTTTGATGTGTTTTGGTAGATTCATACAAGGCGATAAGCGATGAAGGGATGCCAATATACCAGAGGCCATTCATGAAGGGTAAGCTCTATATCCACTTCACAGTGGAGTTCCCGGACTCTCTTAGCCCTAACCAGACCAAGGCGCTTGAAGCTGTTTTGCCTAAGCCTTCAACAACTCAGCTGAGTGACATGGAGATAGATGAGTGCGAGGAGACTACGCTGCACGATGTCAACATTGAAGATGAGATGAGAAGGAAAGCACAAGCTCAAAGAGAGGCTTATGATGATGACGATGATGATGATGAACATCCTGGAGGTGCACAGAGGGTGCAATGTGCCCAGCAGTAAGTAACCCTTTAGAGAGAGAGAGACCTTTGCCCACATGGGTTTTGTCTCCAACATTTGCCTCATCCTTATATTATTTTAAGTGTATTGGAGTCTTAATGCAGTTTGGTACGGTTTAGACTTTTGCCCACTTCGGTGGTAAACCATCTTGTTTTTCGTTAAAATTTATGCAGTATTACAATTTTGTGTTTTTGATATTAAAATTTGTAGTAATTTAATATAATCAAGAAGACGTCTTTTTCTCAACAGATCGGTGGGTTTCAGCCAAAGAGAATGAATCGACCTAACGAAAAGAATCCTAAAATTATTATATAGTGCCTAGCAAGCTGAGACTAATGTAAATTTATAGAAAATTGCTGAATGAATAGTTTTTGAAAGAAATGCTAAATTACCATAAATTGGAAGCTAATGACTAGAGGTGCCATAATTGAATTTACATGCCTGAAGTGTAATTTTAAAATGCCATAATTGAGTTTACATGCGTGAAGTGTAATTTCAAAATTATTCTTAATGAAAAATGATTATGACATTTTTGATTTTCTTTTATTTTAGATATTTCGAAATTTTGTTATTATTTATTTCGAAATTAAATAAAAATAATTTAATTAATGAAAGTAAAAGAAATTAAAATTTTTTTTCTCATCGCTTTTCTCTTCTCTCTCCTCTTGCATGAGAACGATTTCTGGTTTGAATTCAGCTGAATCGAATCTTGAGCTAAAATCGAAAAATATCAGGCCGAGTCACCGCGTCAATCTCTTCTGCACTCGTCGTTGTCGTCTTCTAGCGCCTGGAAGTCGAGTACAGAGCTATTAGGTAAGAAACAAAAATTTGGGAATTTTCGATTTAGATGATGGATTTGTGAAATCTTGGAGTTTGAGTAAACACATTGGACAATGTAAACACTTATATGGGTCGATTAGTTAATTTTTGTTATTGAATCTAGCTGAATGTAGCTGAATCGAATCGAGGTGAATTGTAGTTCTAGGTTGTGAATGATGAATTGGGACAAGTGGTATAACTAGGACAGTTGAGATAATTGGTACAAGTGGTACAACTAAGAGGGGTGGACAATTAGTACAAATTATAGTTATCGGACAACTGGTACAACATTATTACTGTAGATGTGGGACAACTGGTACAAATGGTACAAGTGAGAGAAAGCTGAGTATTGGGAACTGTTGTCCATGCTGAACATGGTTGTCCATTGTATCTACATGCCGTAAGGATGCAAGATTCTACTTATTTCAGTATTAGAGTGTATAGGAATATCCATACATGCTCTAGGGTTGTTGCAAGCACAATTCAGAATAAAAGGAAAGGCACACCACAAGTAGTAGCAGATGTTTTGCGTGGGGTCTATCCAGGTGAAGTAGACACCCCTGCGCCTAAAGCTTTGATCAAAGTTGTTCAAAATGAAGCTCACGTTAATGTGTCCTATTCTACTGCTTTGAGAGGGAAAAAACTAGCTATCAGTGAGGTGAGGGGCAGTCCTGAAGAAAGTTATCGCAAATTGTATTGTTATCTTTACATGTTGCAGCTTGTTAATCCTGGGACAGTAACAAGTGTGAAACTGGATGCCAGAAATAAATTCAAATATCTCTTTGTCGTTTTGGGCACTAGTATTGAAGGGTTTAGAGCAATGAGAAAAGTCATAGTTGTGGATGCAACTTTTCTGAAGAGTGTTTATGGTGGTATGCTTGTTTTTGCCATAGGTCAGGACCCAAATCATCACCATTACCCCATTGCAATGGGTGTGATTGATAAGGAGAAAGATGCTAGTTGGTCTTGGTTTTTTGAAACACTGAAAACTGTAATACCTGATGATGAAGAGCTGGTTTTTATGAGTGACAGGCATAAAAGCATTGTTAAGGCAGTCCAGGAGGTGTATCCTCTGTCTCAGCATGGATTTTGCGTTTGGCATTTGTCACAGAACGTGAGAGGGAAGGCTAGGGTCGGATGTAAGGATTTGTGTGCAGAAAAATTCAGAGAATGCGCTCACAAATACACAGAAGTTGAGTTTGTAAGTGCATACGCATAGTTTAAGAGGTGGTTTCCAAAAGCAGCTGAGTATTTAGATAACAGTGTTCATCTTGAAAAATGGGCAAGATGTTACTTCAAAGGAGACAAGTACAACTTGGACACAAGCAATGCTTGTGAATATATGAACAGTGTCTTCAAGAAGGCAAGGAAGTATGCCTTACTACCTTTGATTGATGCATACATAGAAAAAGTGTCTGAATGGTTCAACAAGCATAGGAAAGGCAGTGCTATTGCTTCAGACACGAAGAAATTGGTGCCATATGTGGAGAACCAGCTGCATAATCTATGTGCAATTGCAAATGGCTTATTTGTCACTGAGCTTAACCATTTTGAGCTTGAATACAGTGTGATTGGGACTGATGGGAAGAGTTATTTGGTCGATTTGTTAAGAAAAACTCGTACCTGCAGGTGCTTGATATAGACAAGATTCCCTGTGTTCATGCAATAGCCGCGGACATGGCACTGATGCGTAACCCCAACAGAAGGAGGGAGATACACCTCCATGAACTGTGCCTGAAATATTACAGGATTGACACATGGGCGTTAGCTTATTACAGAACCATTTATTTGGTTCCACATCAGTCAACATGGATTATTCCAGAGGAAATTGAAAAGTTAGTCATCTTGCCGCCAGACTACACAAAAAAATCAGGGAGAAAGCGAGACAAGCGCTACCCTTCAACCGGAGAAGCACGCCGTAAACAAAGTAACAGGGCCAATCCAGGCATACATATTGGTCGTTGGTTTGAACCGCTTAACACAGATGAAGATCAAGAAGAAAACCAAGGTGATAACCAAGGTGGTAACCCGAGTGAAGTTTAAATTTGCGATTTGTATTTCGGCTTTCTGTAAAGGACAACTGGTCGTTGAAATGGTATTTGTATTTTCTGGGTTTAGCAGGACAACTGGACAACACGGTACAAATAATTGTTTTCAAATTTGGCCAATAAATGGGACAACTAGACAACACGGTACAACTAATTCTTTTCAAATTTGGCCAATAAATGGGACAACTAGACAACACGGTACAACTAATTCTTTTCAAATTTGACCAATTAATGGGACAACTGGACAACACGGTACAACTAAGTGCTAATTTTGAAAAGTCAAAACTCTGGTCAACATAACGAATTCAACCTTACAAACCATAAAGAAGACATAGTTAACCTTTAAAATATATAAGAGACCAATAATAATGATAATAGACAAGTACAAATTGGTTTAGTGAAACAAAGTATGGGATTCTCATCAACAACCTCATATGCTACATGTAACTCTTTCATAATAGAACCATCTTGCAAGGGGAAAAACACAATTTAAATGATTTAGGGCAAATTTTATTGTCATCTAGTACTAAACGATTAGAATAAGTGAATAGGTAAAATGACAATTGTAAATTATAGATTTATGTCCAAGGACAATTAGAATAACCAAAATGGACAACTATGAACAATTTTGGACAATAGGACAAAGGGGTACAACTATGCACAGTTGTTTTCTGTTTAAGGGATGATGCAGCACGTGGTCAACAAAAATGGCGGCGCCGACACATATGTTAAATATGTTAAATACTGCTTCGGGAGAGAAACTCCGCATTTTGTTAAGTAGCCCCCTTTATAAAAGATTAGGAAAGAGAAATTCAGAAGTTTTCCCCTAAATCGAAATCTAGGGTTTAGGCTTCTTAGGCGCGCCACATCCAAAAATGCCTAGTTACAGTTCGGATTCTTCTGAATCGAAGCACTCATAGGACAGTTCATATTATCGAGCTGATGGAGAAGATGGTATGCGAGAAACGTGCTGGTGTGGCCGCCTTATGGTGATCAAGGAATCGAAATCTGAAGCCACAAGAGGTTGGAAAATGTACACTTGTCCAGATTGGCCGATTGAGGTAATAACTTTTGGAGTTCTGGGTTTAGGTTTAGATCTAGGTTGAATTGGTTTAGGTTTAGTTTCAATTCTCGCGATTTCGAGTTTAGGGCTTCGGAAAATCTAACTAATTGGAAGTTCATCGCATCGTTACTAAGGGACCTCATCGCAATCATGACCACATTTGGAAGTGGTGGGACGATGCTGTTCAAGAAGAGTTATCACTGCTGAACCTTCGAGTTGATAATGTTAATTATGGGATGAAGAGCTGCAAAGCATGGGTGTTGTCAGAAACTGCATTCACAATAATAGCTCCTTTGACACACATGAATCCGAAATTAGGCAACTCAGAGAGGTTATGGCTGGGATGGAAAGAGAGCTGGGAAAACTGAAGGACTTGGTTGCAAACAGGGGTGATGGATATGTGATAATCACCTTTTTCATGGTGTTTGCTATGGTTTCATTTATTTTTAAGTAACAACTTTGTATTTCGAATTTGATTTCCTCATTTTAAGTTTTGTTGTTGTCTCGTGTTGTCCGTTTCTAAAAAATTCTATATGAAATAAAATTATAATTATTATCCTAGTTGTCCTATATGTTACCGATAACTGATACAAGTTGTCCTAGTTGTCCTATATGTTACCGATAACTAATACAGTTGTCCCAGTTGTCCTATATGTTACCGATAACTAATACAGTTGTCCCAGTTGTCAATACACAAACCCATAAATATCCAGCAAACAATCAATATCCAGCAAACAAGCAATATCCAACAAACAAACAATATCCAAAAGCATAAGTTATCAAATAAACATAAGTTCATAAGAGCATAAGTTATCCTAAAACCATAAATACCCCCACATATTATTCACCCTTCTTCTCACTTTTCTTCTTAGCATGTCTCTCTTCAGTAAAAGGGGATGACACATGTTTCGATGGTGCATGGGTTCTCTTAGGACGTGGTGGGAGCTCGCGTGGTGGGAGCTCGCTTGGTTGCGGTTTCTTCTTACATCCTTTCTTCGTCCTCTTAAATAGTCCTTTGCCAAGTTCGTATATTAGGGCTTTCATTGCCTCTCTCTCTTCTTCCACTGTCGATGAACCTGCTGCGTATAAGGAGGGACCTGCTGCGTATAAGGAGGGACCTGGTGCAAGAGGTGTGGTGGCAACAGCTGGAGGATCTGTTACAAGTGGAGAGTGCTCTGAGGCTGGTGGCGCTGGTGATCGTGTTGGTACTGGCGAGTCCACTGGTGATCGTGTTGGTGCTGACGAATGCACTGGTGAGCATGGCCGTGCTGTATCGGAGATAAGCCCTGATGGAGGTACCATCCCCTCAAGAGTTTTCAATCTTCTATCCATGCCTTCTACCTTCTCTACAATCTCCTCTTGCTTCTTCTCCATTGACGCCTTCAGCTCCACCAATGACGCCTTCAGCTCCACCAATGACGCCGCCAGCTGAGCCACTGATATGGGCTCATCTTCCCTTGGTTCCATAGCAGGGACTTGAACCCCTGAAGCAATATCAGCCTCATACAGCTCTCTCCAAACAATCTTTTTCTTCTTCTTGGTTAAGTGATCCGTCCAGCCCTCGACGATTATGTCAATATATCCGATACCATCATCGAATCCAGGATTGCCGCCAATAGCTCTTCTTCATCCGAGTCAGCCTCCAAAATGCTACAAATGTCCTGATAATATCAACAAATACCACTTATTACATTTCTTCACCAACCATGTTTAATATCAAGCTAATAGCAATAATCAAAAATCACTGACCTCAGCACTAGTGCCAATAGCTTGGTTGATGTCATCCAAAGGAATACCTCTCATGGCTACATCAGTGAACCTATGCTTACAAATCCTTGGACAGTTAGGCTCAGCATGGACAGTTTCACGAAACCTCTTTCCCAGACTTGGAATGCACTCAAACGCAAGAATCTACAAAGTCAAAACACAAATCAATCTAAATATTTGTCCCAGTTGTCCTAGTTGTCCACAGACCAAATTTAATTACAACTCAATAGTTGTCCAAGTTGTCCGAGTTGTCCACAAACCAAATTAAAGTACAACTAACTAGTTGTCCCAGTTGTCCATCGACCTAACATATAACGAATCCACATAGTTGTCCATGTTGTCTATCGACCTAACATATATTAATCTAAAAAGTTGTCCTATTTGTCCTATACCAAACAGATAATCTATTATCAAAGACATACCTGTAGAGGAAGAATGAAACCAGAGATTGTGCATTCAGCTCCTTTAGGCTTTACGCTGCCATTGAACTTAGAGACCACACGCTTGATCTCCCTTATAGTCTCGTCAAACGTGTAACGCCCCCAAGGAAACGTTCTGCACAGCTTCAGATCTCCGGCTGCTGCGAGCAAGAATGGGTCAATGTATCCATCAAACTTTGACTTCGCCTTCAATACTTTGCATAGAAACAACAGTAGTGCCATCCTCTTCCTGTCCAAAGAGGATTCCTTCATTTCTGCTAGCTTTGCTTCCACTTCTCCGATCTTGACTTTGTCACCCCTGCCAAACTGCTTTTTTACAAATTTCATCTTACCCAACTTCTTATAATTCGCATGGTAGTCATGGCAGTCAAGACCACATAGCAGTGCATGCTCCCTCAAAGAGTATCGAATAGGCACTCTATTTACCACAAACCACGCCTCATTTTGCTTCTCAGTATAAGCTGTGTGCAGAAGAAGCATCCACAACCCTTGATTCATATGATTTGGCTCCTTATACATATGAAACAGGTGCTTGAATTGCGGATGCAATTTGAACCACTCCAACTCTTCAGGCAGATTTCTGATCACATCAAGGGTACACTTAACTACACATCTTGTAATTATCTTACACGCCTTGCTATATTCGGTTGGACCGAAATAAAGCTTCTCAGGCCCCATTGGCATCATTTCATCATCGGCATCCTGAAATTCAGAAGAGTAACACAATGTTATATAAATTATTTGAACTTGTCCCAGTTTTCCAAGTACCTTATCCTATATACAAACTAACTTGTCCCAGTTGTCCACATACCAGATATTTCATAATCAACATAGTTGTCCCTACTTGTCCTATGACCAAAAAAACAAGTTTCTTCATATTTTTTCTAGTTGTCCACATACCAAAATCTTAAACACACATACCTCTTGTAAATTGTCCTCTCGCATTTCTTCTTCCGCTAGAGCATTCTCATCTTCCTCGTGGTTCTCTTCCACACCTTCCATCTCTTCCTCTTGGTTCTCCATATCCGCTTCCTCTCCCACTCCTTCCTCCTCTTCCTCCTCTTCCTCTTGGTTCTCTTCCAATCCTTCTGCCTCTTCCTCTTCATTCTCGTTCTCTTCCTCTCCTTCCGCCTCTTCATTTTTGTTCTCTTCCACTCCATCCGCCTCTTCCTCTTCCTTCTCCTTCTCTTCCTCTCCTTCAGCCTCTTCCTCTTCGTTCTCCTTCTCTTCCCCTCCATCCGCCTCTTCCTCTTCAGCCTCTTCCTCATCGTTCTCCTTCTCTTGCACTTGCACTTCTTCCTCTTCGTTTTCCTTCGCCGTGGCAGTGCTCGGTTCGTCGTTCACGAATCTAGGATGGTTCTCGTTTGGACTTTCTTCGATTTCAGCCGGGTTTACTTCCCTTTCTGCCGCCGGACTTTTAGGTTTCCCGATTTCAGGTTCTTCGATTTCTGGCGGATTTCCTTCCACCCGATTCTTAGGGTTCTCGTTTTCTGGGCTGTGCTCGGTTTCAGCCGGCTTTCCTTCCGCCGGTTTTTCGGTCTCCTTGTTTTCGCTTCCGGGCTGGTTTTCGGCATCCGCCGCTGAAGATTTCGCCGCTGAAGCAGTGTCATACACCTTGCCCTTATTTCTCACCTTCGCCATAGATTCGGGATTCTAGTTGCGATTTTTGATTTTTGCTTAGGGAAGTTGAGAAAACACAATTAAAGTGAAGAAAGGGAGGGGAAGTTATAAAGTGAAGATATTGGAGTAGTTTCAAAAAGAAACCGATTCAAAAGAAACCGATTCGCTCAAAGGAGTGGGAAGTTGAAGAAAGGAAGAAAGGAGTCGAGAGTCGTTTCAAAAAAAGGAGTATGAGAAAAAAGAAAGAAATTAGAAAGAAAGAAAACGGTTTTTCATAAAATGAAAATTCAAAATATCAAAAAAAAATTGAATCGGGTCGGTTCTCGGGTAAATGGGTCATTATTTGGGTTTGACTCAGGTTTTGTTATAAATAAATCGAACTTTCAGGGATTGATTTGGATTTTCCAGGATTTCGATATTAAAAAGAAATCAAAAATATTAAACAATTTTCCTTATGGCTTTTTAGCCATTTTTTTCCCATTTGTGGCATCTTGGCCTCGCGCTCGTAGTTTTTAAGTTTTAAATTAGAGGAATAGGATGTTTTCAAAACCAAGGAAGGATAAGACTGTTTTTACTGTTTGTCTCCCCACAAGGGCCTTAAAGCTATTTTTTATTTTCAAAATTGCCATTATTGAAGTAAAATAACTAAAAATTGCTGATTAAATCCGATTTGGTAAACCGATTACACAAATTTATAAACCGAAGTCCAATATCATAAACCGAAGTAAAACCAAATGTATAATTTATCGACACCCCAACATTTAAATTAAAAATTAAATTTGGGATCCACATCTCGACGTAGTCCATCTAGCATCTCGGGCAATCCATCTCCGATTAGCCATCCGATTGACCGTTGTAATGGCGCGGAGAGTACAAAATTCGTTAAGGCGCAACAACACCGTGCCTCCGGTGTCGAGGCAGTGCTCCAGAGTAACTCGAAGACAGCTCCGACGGAGCAGTCGCCCATACCGCCCATGCCACCGCGACGGAGTGACTGGGTTGAACATTCCATTCACGCGAGTCGTCTCAATCCACGCCGGCGGTGTAGATCCAAAGTACAATTCGCTCCTCTTCTTCTAGAATGGACTGCTCAGAATTCTAAAAGTAAGTTACATTTATGAACTTCGACCTTGTCTGAACTGTACTGGCGGTTTGTAACTCAAATTAAGATTGAAACGGGGCGCCTGATTGGCCTGATTTATGTATTAGCGGTTATGAACTCTAGTACTTATGTCTATATATTGAATTCAAACGGTTGGATTACTCTTATATTATCTAGAAACAGTTACAGAAGTTTATATAGGAGAGCATACGAATATGGTAGTTTTTCCAGATCTCTGTTCTCTCTTTCGAACTCCTTCGAACTCCTTTCCCTCAAACTTTTCCCCTGGTTTGCATTTAACTGTTTATCCAGAATATTATATCTTTCCTGCATTTCGGAATTGTTGTTTTGGTTCAAATACAGGAATGGAAGACGGAGAACCTTCGAATACAGGCATGGAAGATGGAGAAGCTTCAAATAACCTTTCGGAAAAACTACCAAAAAGGGTCCTCGGCGATGGTTGCTACCCCGTTGGTGCTCGGTTGAACATATATTTAAAGGCCAATGTCATTGGCCTCCTTGTTGAGGCGTTAAAGGGTACTGAAGATCTTGAGAAGCTACTTCATTCCCAGTTTGGGAAGTTATTCCATCTACCTGTTGCAAGATGTTGCAACAGCGCCAAACTAGTCCATGCCCTTCTATCACGACAACTTGTGACCACGAAGAAACACGAGATTTGGTTCCTCTTTGGTGGACAGCCTCTGAATTATTCGATACGGGAGTTTAAGGAAATCACTGGATTGAATTGCAATCCCGAACCTGATAGCACAGAAGAAGAAGAAGATGTCGGAAAGATAGGAATCTGGAAAGACCTGTTCGGAAGATCGAGCGCTATGAACGTTTTTGATGTGCTAGAAATGCTAAAGGACCCGGATCTACCCCGATGGAAACGGCTTCCATTGGCCCTAATCGTTCTTGTCAACGGTGTTCTGTTTTGCAATAGCAAAAATCTGGCCCTCACCGAGAAATACATTGAGATGTTGACTGACTTGGATAGGTTCATGCTGTATCCATGGGGGAGGGTATCCTTTAACAAAACAATATCTCGTTTTCAAGCTCCGAAGGCAATCACGGATGCCGAGAAAAGGGAGAATCCTTTAACACGATTGCGCCGTCAACTTAAACAGAAAACCAGTGTATGCTATGGCTTCCCTCTATCACTACAACTCATGGCCCTCCAATCTATACCAATGTTGGTTTCCAAAATTCCTCAACCTGATAACTTGAAGACTTTCGTTGAAGATCCCGAAGGCTGTCAAAACGTTATCACACTACTACATCTTGGGGACATACTTGTCGTAGAATCCAAACCTCTGGTAAATTATTTGTAGTATTATATTTAGTACTATTTGTAGTCTTATTTTGTAGTACTTGTCTTAAAAGATAAGTACTTTATCATTTTGGTTGGTAATTTTGCAATTGTTGTTTTTGTCTTAGTTGTCTGTGAACAGATGGTAGTGGATGATGGTGACAATGACCAACAGAAAGAATTGTGTTGGGGAGATGAGGTAGAGGATGCCGAAGTTGCATTCATGCAGGAACTCATGGCCGAGGGGTACAAATTTACACCTTCGGATTTTGCAGTGGCACCGACACCTATCGTGGATCTTAGTGATGCAGATGACGAGGTTACCAATGAACAGGAACCTGAGCCATCCACCCGACCGAAGAAGAAACTGATAACTCATCAAACTGAAAAACGTAAGATGCAGAGGAAGAAAGGCAGGGGCAAGAACTCTTCTAATCTATCGGAAGATGAAACCCCTCAAAGTGGACAGATTAAAGATCTTAAAAGATGGATAGTAAGTCAGAATAATTTGCTACTTCGTAAGATTAAGACAGAGTTGGACAAGAGATTGGGCGTATACCAACAGGACGAAGAAGATAACGATGTACACCAGTCAAAAGAAGATGGGGAACAGGATGACGAAGGACAGAATCCAAAAAAGGTGGTCAAAAACCGGATGAAGATGAAGACGAAGCCGAAGATGGAGGTGAAGAAGGAGGTTATGATGGTGCACAGTCTAGCGTACACCATGATGATGGTGTACACCCCCAAGATGTGTACACCAGAAAGAAAGAGATGATGAAGAAGGGATCTCTACTTACTACGGCGGGGACCATTATTCTCCTAGGGACCATGCGTACTTGAAGACTCCAGAAGCTCCGACGAAGACCCCTGAACCTGAACAAGCCAATTCAGGAACAACTCGTCCACCTCCTTACTTCGTCAATCCGGATGAAGATCCACCTTCTGGCCTCAACGAGGTGAGCTAATTGTTTAGTCAGCAGCTGACTCTATTAAGTTTCATAACGTGTGTGTACTGTGCTATGTTTTTTATGACTTATTCAGGTGGATGGTGGTAGAACAAATTTGGTGTCAGGCACCTTAGTAGTCTACAAACCTCAGACTCCTCACCCATTGAGCTACGCATATAAGAAAAATGAAGCGCAGACAGATGCACTGGATGCACAGGCCAGACATTAAACTTGTTCATATGATATGCATGTGTATACAGTGCTCTTTAGGTATACGCTAGGTATACGATTGATATGTTATACGCTTTATTGTTACGGTGGTTTGTAGGCTGTGCTAATGAGGAGGACTCAAATGCGGGGAAAGATTACCATACTGCGCCTGAGGATGCAAGTGATGCTTCGCAGAAGACCCCTTGTACTCCAAAACCCCCAAAAGAAGTTGAGGGATCGTCTGGTGTAAAGAGAAAAAGTAGAGGAACAGGAAGAGGAGGAACAGGTAGAGGAACAGGAAGAGGAGGATGAGCTAGAGGAAAACGCGCACGCGTACGGTCGGACAAGATTCGAGATATTTACACCGCAGATTCAAAGGTGAAAGCTCTATTTGTATCCAGATCGAAAGCTCCATACAAACCACTCGAAACAGTGGAACAAGACCACTTCAAGGCATTCCAGGAGTTATTATCGCGTGAAAGAAACATGTAAATTATATCGTATTCAAAGCAATTTATCCTTAAACTTTAATTGTTATCAGTTACCAATTGCTCTCATTTCAGCGACTTTTGCATTGTCACTGGTCATACTGTGAACAATCAATTCTTCCTACAAATTGCGAAGCCTACTGAGTGGGTTAACACGATGGTAAGTATATAGTTAGTACTTACTGAATCTTTAATTATCTGTAATATATGTAATTTATGTTTTGTTATTCGTCAGCACATGCAAGTCATAATGGCCATGCTTTGGAGACGTAGAGGTGAAATATACTTGAAAGACAGGGTAGCATTTGTAGACACCTTGTTTATATCCATCATCGGCAACTACTACAATGATTTCATATCTGGAGAAAAAAATCAGTATGACTGGAGGAAAACCATTCAGGGCATTGTATTGGGAAAACCTGCAAAGTGGGCTAATCAACGTCAGAGGCAAATGTTTCTACAGTTTGTGGACGTTGTATACGTCCCGATGAACTAGGGGTCTGAGCATTGGGTGGGCCTTGTAATTGACTTTAAAATGGGCAACATAAAGATTTTGGACTCATTCATCAGTCATAATGATGAAGCGGCTGTGGAGCAGTATATGGCGCCTTTGTGTCAAAGTATGCCATTTATATTGAAGCGTTATTTGGATAGAAAATTAACGGAAGGCCTACGCACCACCCCTTACACATGGAGTCGTTTGGAGGGCATATATCAGAACAAGAGATCCGGTGACTGTGGCCCATGTGCGGCCAAATTCTTAGAGGTGCATGCTGCAGGGCTTGGAGTGGAAGATATGGGTTTTATAACGGACGATGACGTTGAAAGGTTAAGGGAGAAATACGCCATGGACTCATACGAAGATTTTGTTGGGAATCCGGCTGTTGCCAACGCTTAGGACGAATGGTGAAGTTTAATGTTGAACTTGACAATTTATGAAAGGTGTATTTGTTGGATTATGTGTTTGATAATGTTTAGGATGTGGGTTTATTTGATAATTTATATGCTTATAATTTAGTGTACTTTACAATCTATTAATTGGTGTGTCAATTCGTAGTTCCGGGAATAATTTGGTATCCGTACACCAATATGCGTTTAGTTGTACATCAAATGCATCAAATGGGTGTACATCAAGATTAATTTGGTTATACTTTAATTTATTTTAGTATTTATTAATTGGTGTGTGAATACTTTGTTCCCGGCTTAATTTGTATTTGTACACCAATATCCATTTAGGTGTACATCAAATGGGTGTACAACACAAATTTTTTTGTTTAGCCACCAATTTTACAAACTCATTTATAATCTGAACGGTAACTGCATTTAATGTATACGCTCTCAGTTAGTGGGATTTTTTAATAATTATATATATGCAACATAAACAACCGTTATCCTCACAAATCCTAAACCGCAGTTATTCCTTCTCCATAAACAACCGTTTTCTTCACAAATCAACCTCACAAATTAACTATGGCACCAAAGAGAGGGCGATGTGATGCAGATATCCGTGATTGTCAGTCCCCTCTGATGGCGCTACCCGACGATCTATTGGAGAAGGTTCTCGCATACAGTTGCAACTCCGTCCAACATATTTTCACACTAAAGCAAGTTTGCAAACGGTTCCAGGCCTGCACAGAAACCAAAAATTTTCTAGCATCGGTTGATCTCGTGGAATTGGAGATGCCTATTCCCGAAGATTTCGATATGCCTATCGCAAGTTGGGAATTTCCCAACTTATTGAGGAGGATGTATGACGCACGCAATCCGGGTTTGCTGTTCATGAAGGGGATGCAAGACTACTTCTGCCGTGGAGACAGATGTGGCATAAAACTCATCAAGGAATCTGCAGATATGGGTTACGAAACAGGTATTTACATGTATGGCATGTACATGAAAGCAGTGGTCGAAGACCCCGTGGGTTTAGAGTATCTTTCAAAACTAGGCAGCGGGGCAGTGAGGAGAATAATTCGGAAAGTTCTTGATCGAGGTGAGCGTGGTTATGTCAATAATTTGCCTAAAGAATTCTCGAAGAGGAGATTTGAAACTAATGCTCAGTTTGCCACACTTTGGTCTTGTAGCTGTGGTGTTGCCAATGCTCAACTTGATTGGCATGACGAATTGTTAAAGGGGCCAAGCATATGCACGTCGTGTTTCTGGGCACAGGAAACGCAAAAGTTCTTCGTATTTGTTTGGTATGCAGTGAGGTCTAGGCCTTCAATGGAAAAATGGTGACTAATTGGTGAAACTCAACCAGTTTCGCTGTGTACACCTCGGTGTGTACACCTGCGTTGTGTACACCTCGGCGTTGCTGTTATTTCAGAATTCATCGATTAGATTAGCATCCGCGAATATGTTTTTTTGGTTTATGTAATCGATTAGATTCCATATTTCGTACTTTATGATTTAATATTTTGTTTAGGATCTGTACACGTACTTATTTAGGCCTTCTATGTATGTAGGTGTACTTTGTTTTGGTTTCTATCTATGTATACTTTAATTCGGTGGGTGGTTGTGGCAGTTTTTCGAGAAGCATTATCTCTTATATCTTTAAAGTCTCAGTTTACCTCTCTCTGTACGCCTAATAACTAGAAAAAGAGAACTACTCAATCTGGACTCAATATGTACACTTAAATTTGTACACCTGAATGTTACAGACATTTATCACATATTATATATTTTGAGTATACAAACGACATTATCTCTTTCGTGGAAAATTTCGGAGAATATTTGGTATACAAACGTCATTATCTATTTAAAGTCTCACCTTACATATTTCTGTACGCATATTTTCAAACTAATCATGATTTCGTCTATGTGGACTCAATCTGTACTCTATATCTCGGTTAACCTGATGTTGAGAAAAGAAATATAGTTTCCAAAGTATAAAAAAGGTCTGTGTTGTTATTGAAATTTCGATTTAATCATAAATAATAATAGTATTGTGGCAGAAATTATAAATGTATTGTGGTATATCATAAATTAAATTAAATCATTCATCATAAAAGTTTAACGGTGAAATTTGCTTGGATTTGGTTATTCTCTGTATTTATTGTGGTAATTTAATTTTGCCGGTAAACGAAAAGACACATTTTTGTCTCTTTTCAACGTCTCTCTTCAAAGACAGCTATTCGGCTCTATTAAAACCGCACTACCTCTTTAAATTCAATCCCTTCAGTGTAACATCCTACTTACAACCATCATAACTTCCTCTTTCATTTTATTTTCAATCCTTTCTCCTCTTCCTCAATCCATTTTCTTATCTTTTCTCTTTTCATCGAAATAAACGATGGTTCCAAGGAGAAACAGAGGTGGTGATGGTGATTTTTCCTATCTTCTCTCACTCACTGATGAATTGCTGGAAACAATTCTGGCCGCTACAAACCCAACTATAAGGGAAATAGCCCGCCTCCGTACTGTATGTTCTCGTTTCAACCGTATCGGCACAAGCAGGGGTTTCTATCGAGCGATTGATCCTGCCGAAATCGTGCATGAACAAGCGGCGGTTCCACATTACCCACCGATGATGAGGAGATTCTATGACGCGGGTAATCCAGAGGTTATTTTCCAGAGGAGGATGCAAGCCTACTTTTTCTTCCACGATGGTGAAGGCGTGGAATTGATAAGGGATGCTGCGGAGAGAGGCTACGACCGAGACATTTTTGTGTACGGGATGTGGCTCAGAGCAGTGCCGGAAGACTTCGTCCGTGCAGAGGAGTATTTGGGCAGGCTCACGGTGCAAAATCGGAGGAGGATGAGCCGGTTGTTGCTGGCCGACGTTCCACACGGATGGAATTTTGATTTACCAGTCGATTTCGCTGAGAAAGTGGCTGCCTTTCATCCGAGATTCCTGGCGCTGTACACCTGTCAACGCGGGGTTATCAATTACTGGCTCCAGTGGTTTGCAGAAGATTTTAAGCAGCCAAAGTGCACAACCTGTTTCTGGGCCCAAGAGACCCAAAGGTTCTTCCGCTTCATTAGGAACGTCGTTCCAAGCTGGCCGTTTATGCTCGATTGGTGAAAGCCGTAATATTAGTATTTTGTTGCAATCGTGTCTCTTTAATTATTTTTTGTTGTCATTCCGAACTACAACGGATGTTTTTCAAATTGCATGTCTACTTTCGTTTTTTAGTTGCAACTCTTACTTTTGTATAAACATAATCTATCTTAGTAGTTGATTTTATGATATTTATGATACTTATGTTCCTAAATGTAGTAATTAATCATAAAGGTGTTTGAAAATTTTTAAATATGGAGAATTTGGCCTTTCCAAAAATCGAAATGAAAGTGGTTGGATATCATTTCATCTAGGACAGTAATTAATTATGTACACCTATTCACTGTAATTATTTATGTACACCTATTACCATATACCTATAGACGTATAGACGTACACCTACTTATGTATACCTATAGACGTACACCGACTTACGTATACCTATTACCGTATACCTATAGACGTACACCTACTTATGTATACGGGATTAGAAAAGATTGGAAACATATAGCAGTTTGAAAGTAAAATAACATTACACTTTTTTAAAGAACGATGAATACATACACCAATTTTAACGTAAACGTACACCTATATACGTCCATGAACATTGGTATACGGGATCGTATACCTTTTTAGACATAAAGCTGATAGACATAAGGCTGTTTTTAAACTTCATATTTATTTTTGCTATAAATAGCACATCGATACTAAAGCATTTTTGCTATGCGTTCTGCCGAACATCTAAGATAACATTTTTCACATGTCACAATATAATGCAATTCTCGTGATACACTTCGCACGACGCAGAGGTGTCTTCATGAATGAGACTGGGGTACCTGAACTTTTTCTTGTATGACCAGAATAAGGATACTATATCTTTGGCGACTTCACGAATTTCACGAGAATCATGAGGATAGTGGTACCTGAAAACCATCTTTAGAAGTTTTTTCCCTCTGTTAGGGGGACCCACGCATATTTGCAAAATGGCACAGCTGTAAGAGGCATAGACGTCTGATGGAACGAGCTTATTTAGCATCCTGATGGCGGTATAGATCTTCTCCTCTGTTGACATGAACCTTATAGCTTCGACCAATATGGCCCGTGGATTTCTCGACGCTAAGCAGCGCAGGAATAAATGCCGATATACTCCTCCAGGGTATATCCGAGATGGTGTGTCATGCAATGTCCATAGGTATGCCGATCTGAGTACTTCCGCGCTAAACGCAATATCTCTACCACGGGTCCTTGCCAGAATAATCGGTCCAAGGTAGATGCAGTCAGACTCAGCAACTTTCTTGACAATGATTTCGAAAACATGATCTGGTAAATATGGTAAATCTGGCATTTTTGGGAAGGTTATAGGGTTTGTGTAGGGTGAACTTTCTTCGCAATATTATGAAACTATATATTGAATTCGATGGGTACTTCTTGTTGAGAAATAGTTAATGGTAAGACAATTAGTAGTTGCAGGGTTTAGTGTGTAGATGAACAGAAGTAATATT